TGCACCCTCTCCAGCAGCCAACACCCAGATAAACAGGGATTAACAGCTAGCAAACAATCAAGCAGAAAACAATACCCTAATCAAGGAATTACCAAGGAGAAAATCACACCCCCACCAACACTGGCAGGGCAAGCTGCTGTATATAAACAGGGAGCAAGCCCCACACTCACGAGCACTAATGAGGTTACTTAGTTGGGCAATGAAACATCTGCAAACAAACAACCAAGCTCAGAGAGCATCAAGGATTCCACAGCTCAACCCTGAGCTACATATATGCTATTCTTTTTATTTTGTTGGTTGTTCCAGGTAGAACAAAGCAACAAGTTGCAGTGTATACTGGAAGATTGCCAATGTAAAATAGGCTGTTCTTTCAAGGTTTTGACATCTGTGAAATATAACTAACAGCCATTCTGTTGAGAACAAGGGAAGGTAGATTTTTCTCCCCAAAGATCATTCTATATGCATTATCCAATGTGTTAATTTTTAGCTGGGGAAAGGGGATGGGAAAATATTTTGATGAAAGATGTTTTCTGGACCCCATGTAAAATTTCATGAATGGCATAAAGCTAATGTAGAAAAATGGTTTATTTGAGAGTTCACCTAAAAAAAGCTGCTTAAACCTGGGCTGTCTTCGGAACTGACGCAGCTCCTTGACTTTCTGCTTCAGAAATGCTGCAGTTGAGACGGTGGACCAAGAGCTCTTATTTGTTGGATCAGAGACAGGAAAATTGTTAGCTATGAGAGATCTTGTGAAAAAGGTAATTTTCTTTTTCATGCTAAGATTGTCTATTTGGGAGCTTTCTGTGCTGTATTGATGTGCTTATAGAGCAGAATAAGATAATAGAACGCCTTGAAGGATGCAGACTTTTAGAGGAGGAGGGTAGAAGTTGTGTTAGAGATACATAACTAGAATGGTCTGACCCACTTTAAATGGCAAGTGAGAATACTCTTTCTTTAAGGTACCTTCAAATTGAAAGGAAGGAGGGAGAGAAGTGGAGGAAAGACCCATGCAGACCTCAGGTTCACGACAAATCATTTTCATATCAACAAGCCATGATTATTTGTTTCATGTGATTGCAGCCTCTGAGTACATCAAAGCAGAATTTTGGAATGAGCTTCATTAATTTTTGTGTGTAATCTTTCTTCTGCTGCTGTGTGATGTCAGAATTAGAGTATCCACTTGAGGTTGTGAGACACTTAACAAAACTCTGCTGGTTCTTGTGGGTAGTGGGTAATCTTGGGCCACCCTCTTGAAGGATCTTGAGCCTGCAACACAAGAGGACATGCTGGAATGCTGCCCTGATCTCCTTGAGAATAAAATAAATGTTCTCAGTAACTTAGTCTGTTGATGTACTGTTCTCTCTCTTTCTCTTACTTTTTCCTTCTTTCTTTTTTCTCTCTCTTCCTCCCTTCTTTCTCCTCTCCCCTCTCTTCCTCCCTTCCTTCACTTGCCCACCCTCTCTCTCTTCTTCCCCTGCCTTTTTGCACCAGATTGGGGAAAGCTGATATGTATTGACTGCCAATGGCTCTCCAAGGTGTAGACAGGTTTTTTCCCCCCTCAAATAGATCCCAAACCCATGAGCCCAACGTTTTATAACTAAATTGGTTATTTCAGAATACCTTGGATTTGTATGGATTGTAGAGTCAGTACTTTCTGTGTCTGAGGAGCGAATTGACTATACTGGCTGACAGTCACAGTATTACATTCCTTCCTACCTGGGCTGTCACCTCACCTCACCTCAGCTCTCTTCTCTCCTTTCTTTTTTGTTGCAGGGCTTCACACCTCCAGTCTTGGTTTTTGTCCAGTCTATTGAACGGGCTAAAGAGCTATTTCATGAGCTTGTTTACGAAGGCATCAATGTGGACGTCATTCACGCAGACAGGACCCAGCAGCAGGTAGGAGAGGCTTTTTTGAGTGTGAAAGAACATTTTATAAGCTGTTTCCTGCTTGTCTTGGTTTCTTCCTGGCTCTTGCCTTTTGGAGAGCTTCAAGAGGGTGTGCTCTGAGGTCAGGCGGAAGAGATGCTGCTTCTGGAGGTTAACTTCAGACGTCAAGTACTGTACTGCTTTGCTCATATTCACAGGCAGATGAGGGATGGGTATAATATTATAGTTAAGTGAATTCCCTGAGAATTCAGAAGAGCCAGAGCCCAAAATGGCAAGCACTAGAACACCAATGATGGTCCCAAGCCCATCTGAGTCAGCCAACCGCAGAGACCGGACCAGCAGGACAAGGGAGAGGTAGTTGGTAGTGACAGTTGGGAAAATGAGAACATTAGAGATTGTAAATTGAACGAAAGTCATAAGATTAGACAGGAATTAAGCAGATAAGAATAGGAGCTAGGTGGTTACTGTATAACATAGAGAAAGCCATGGAAAAAATAGGAAAATAGCAATAGAAACTGGAATAATGATAAAAAAGAATATTCTAGAAGACATAGGATGCAGAAACTGTAAATAAGAAAAGAATAGGCAGTCCTTTTTGTAATAAACACACTTTTAAACACTTTTCTGTTGATGCAAGTACATTCTGTACCATCTCTGAACCTGTGATGGCAGCTCAACCAATTTCAAATCGGCACTACCAGGTTCGAGGGAAAACAGCTTTCATTTAAACCATGGCTTACATGAGGATTTTTTTTTCCTCCCTAGAGAGATAACGTAGTCCACAGTTTCAGAGCTGGGAAGATCTGGGTCCTTATCTGCACTGCTTTGCTGGCTAGAGGGATCGACTTCAAAGGAGTGAACATGGTTATCAATTTTGACTTCCCAAGTAGTGCCGTGGAATATATCCACCGGATAGGTGAGTTTGGGGTTCTGCGTTTTAAATAAGAGCATTTCAGCATTTCAACATTTGACTTGGGGGAGCAGGAGAATGCTGCCGCGCCTTTCAGAGTTGAGGCTCGCAGGAAGTCTCCTGCGTGTTTTTGTCAAAAGGAAATGGTACCTATCAGTGCTTGGAAAGTCCTGCCATTGTGTCCTATTTGTTCCAAGGATTGTCATAATGTTTCAAACAATGATAGAGTTAGAACAGTGTTTCTCAACCTTGGCAACTTTAAGATGTGTGGACTTCAACTCCCAGAATTCCCCAGCCAGCATGCTGGCTGGGGAATTCTGGGAGTTGAAGTCCACACATCTTAAAGTTCTTGAAGTTGAGAAACACTGATATACAATATAGGAGACAGAGGTCTTGTTTCCTGGGCATAATTACAAGAGAAATGTTGCTGGAGCAGATGCCTCGGCACTTAAGCCTTCCTGACTTAGCAGTCAACATTTTTCACTGCAATCTGTAATGGAGCACTTGACTTCTTTTTATAGGTCAGCCTGCCCCTTGGAGCTTTTCTGATTTTTCCCTCTCTCTGTCCCTTCCTTCAGTTCTTTTTTTTAAGGAAGATAAAATAGTGACAAGACTGATCTGTTGCTCATCAGCTGTGTAATCCAGTAACTGGGAAGTACAAAGTTGGGATGGCCCCAGTATTTTTTAAAATTATTTTCCTTTAGCTGACATCTCTAGCTAGCCGTCTGATACAAAAAAAAAGGAAGCATGGCATTCATTTATTATTTGGTTACATTTAAACAGCATGCTAAACTAGCTAAAAATAGACGTAACATATCTTCTGGGCCTAGTCCTTGGGACAAACCATGGTAAAGAGGGAGCGCCTTGCCCACAGTTTTTATTCTAGGAGTGTATAATGTTACTCACCTTAACCATGGTTCCTAATGTCATCTCATGTGAATCAGGAAGGGAATTTACTTTGAAGTTAACCCTCTAGATACAGACATAGGGGACCTAAGGGTAGACCAGATAGGGCTATTCCATCTTCATAGTCTCTTTTTTCCCATTTTATTTTCATAAACCCCTCCAGGTGAGTTGGGAACAAACTGGGGGCATAAGAAGATGATTCAGATGAGTGTGCTTTTCCTTGCTACTGTTTTCACTTAAGGTTTTTATAATTGAAAACAAAATAAGTGTGGTCACAGAAACACTGCAAAGGTATGGTTGATATACTGACCAAAATAGCCACTCCATTGCAAACTGGTACTGCCCTTCATTTGTTGAATGTGCTGCACTCAGGCAGCTGGCACATCTAAGGTTTGTGCAAGATTAGGCTTGGCATTTCTGTAAACATGCACTTTTGGTTTGGAGTGAGACAGAATTTCTTTCCTGCAAACAATTAGGACCCTTTTATTGTTGTTATTATTATTGTTGTTTTTGTTGTATGCCACCCAGAGTCACACTGTTTGAGTTGGGTGGCCTTCTAAATCCATGAATGAATGAATGAATGAATGAATGAATGAATGAATGAATGAATGAAATTAATCAACAGGTAGTCTTTGACTTACAACCACAATTGGGACTGGAACTTCCATTGCTAAGCGATATAGTTGTTAAATGAGTCACGCCTGATTTTATAACCTTTTGCTTCAGTTGTTAAGTGAATCACGTCATTAAATGAATCCAGCTTCCCCCATTGATTTTGCTTGTTGGAAGCCTCCTGGGAAGGTTGCAAATGGCAATCACATGACCCCAGGACATTGCAACTGTCGTAAATACATGCCGGTTGCCAGGTGCCCGAATTTTGATCACGTGACCGCAGGGATGCTGCGATAGTTGTAAGTGCAAGGACTGATTGTAAGTCACTTTTTCCAGCACTGTTGTAACTTTGAATGGTCATTAAACAAATGGTCATTAGTCAAGGACTATTCAAGAAAAAAGAACTGGTTCATTAAGAGAAGGTTTTCACAGACATCAGGAATGCTTATGTGCTTTAATTTATTAGTTAGCTTTGAAGATGCTGCAGTGCTGTTTCATCTCAGGAAAGGAAAATTGAAGGATTAAAAAGAAAAAAGAAAACACTTTCACAGCTCGAAATGTTCTGTTGGGATATAATTGTGGTATCTGGCTAAAATCATGAGCTCTCTTATTGGATCAGACCTGGTAAGGACTCTTTCAGCAGCAGACAATGGCCTCCAGATTGTATTGGCATTCTGAATTATGGAGATCTAGTATTCAGAAATGTCTTTGCTCCCTCCTGCTCATTCTGTCCCTGTGTCTGTGTGCAGAAGCTCCCTCTTTATTGTTACATAGGCTGAAGAAGGTGAGCCTCTTTACTGCTCTCTCCTGTAACAGGTCGCACGGGGAGGGCAGGACACACAGGAAAAGCAATTACCTTCTTTACTGAAGATGACAAGCCATTACTGCGAAGGTACCTCTTCCACTCAGTGCTTTGTTTACCTTTTTCATGAGCTTGACCATTGTTTAGCAAGTCATGTTTTAAAGAATGAGTCATGGGCCAGCATGACAGCATTTCCCCCTCCCCTTCTGATCTGGAAAAATGGCAAAAGGCCCTTGACCTAACTGTCTGTGTGAATTGCAGCAGACCCCATATCTTGACTTATGTGTAGAAAGAGGGCAGGGGTTATTTCCCCTTCCTCCATTTCCTTGTACATGGAGGAGTGATTCTTGGAATGGGATATTTGAGAAGCCATTAGGGCAAGTTTGGGCCCAGATTGCCTGTCCCTAATCTCTGCATTGGCAAGGGCATGAATGAGCTTTTGATCCTGAAACTTTAGAAAATTAGCTAGGAATTGTCAGCTTTAGCTTTGTTCTCTCTCCTATTTTCCTCCCGCCTTTCATCTCTCGTTTTCTTATCTTGTAGCATTGCCACCGTTATTCAGAGAGCTGGTTGTCCTGTGCCGGACTACATAAAACACTTTCGCAAACTGCAGAGGTATGCTCTTTGGGGTCAGGGTGAATGGAGAAACTAAGACGAAAGGCCACAGTGTTCTGGGTGTTTCCTCTTGCTTGAAATCACATCAGCTCTGTCCCGACCACTGCTGAAGCTTCAGTTACAGGAAGATGCTCTGGGCACCCCACATTTTGCTCTTGAGAGCAGGCAGGGAGGGAGATCTGCCAGTGTTAAGAAAAAAATTGCAATGACGGCCTGGTTGCTGCTTTACATATTTATTTCTGAGATAATTCTTTGCTGTGTTAGCCCCCTGTGCGGGATTCCTAGGGGTATAGTCCAAGGGAGCGATGGGGACAAAAGCCTACAGCTACATCCTAAGTGTATAGCTAGAGCCAGACCTAAGGAACCCATCAGTCCCAGAGTCCTTAGAAACCTTGCTTAATGTCTACCAGGCTCCCTGTTCCATATGATCTTTTTAATGTTTCTTTTAATAAAACAAACTAAATAGGAAGTGGGTGTGCTACAAAACCAAACTCCAGGAGCATCATTAGTTGGCAGGATTGAGTGCTACAGTACTCTACATCCTTTGGGATGGTAGAGTCATGCTGGGCATTGGGATGGTAGAGTCATGCTGGGCATAGTGGGGACTAATTCTAGTAAACAGGCTCTTTGTGACTATGGCAACCATTTTGTGTTAAGCAAGTCTTCTACAGCAGCCGTCTTCTGAGCGTGCTCCCTACATGCTCTCAAAATTACAAATATTGCCCCAGCTCAAGGTGTCTTTCATTTAGTTATTTGCCTTGAATCCTCCCCAGTTTCCTTTCCCCGCTTAAATAAAAGTGAATATTGTTTTTCTCTTTTTAGTTTCCAGAGTTCCCCTCCCCCCACTCCCTGCCTCCTTTTAGGAAATTGAATGAGTGAGATGGAGAGGCTGCTTAGAATTGGTGCGATATGTACCAGTCTTATGTGCTGAATGTGCTACCAGTAACTTCTTTAGGAAGTTTATTCTGTGCACTGACATAAACATTTGCAACTGAATTTTCACACATCTAGTTCAGGATGACCAAAACAAGCTGTATGCTTTCACCCTTCCTCCATCACTCTTTTCCTTTTTTTTTTTTTTTTTTTGTTTTGTTCAGGGGTTCCTCTAACCAAATTATAGTTTGCACTGACTGCCTGGGCCAGAATGAGGAGCTCCACTCAGATCAGCTCTCTGGTTGATTTGACAGTTTGCCAGTTCAGGTTCACAACAGGGAACAGGAAAGAAAAAGGGAGCAAGGAAAGAATTTGCACTGTAAACTTTGCTAATGAACTGTTTTTATTTTATTTTTCCTTTCTTTTTCCTCTGCCCTAAATGTCATACTCAGCAAGCAAAAGAAGAAATTTATAAAGAAGCCTTTGGAAAGGGAACACATCCTTACATCTCCTAAGTTCTTACAGAAAAAGGCCAAGAAGAACAAGTAAGTAAACAGTTCAGTGTCCAAAAGATTTTAGAAAAGTACTGCATATAGATATAGATATAGCTGAATGCAGGATCCAATAAAATAACACCATGAAAGTTTGAGAAGATTCCTAGAGACCTAATAGTAAGGTGCTTTCAATTTGCCATTTTGCTCCCCACTCTGAGTGTAAATCAGCTGGTCTCTCTCTCTCCCTAGTTCCACAGGAAAGAGGGGAGAACAAACAAGAAGTAATATTTCTACTTTTGTGTGCTCAGGTAGATGTAACTAACTGCTAGGGATGTGCAAAGCACTGATTCAGAAGGGAACAGCATACCCTAGCAAATGGTTGAGCATGGTCCTGAAGGAAAATTTCCTGGGCAGACATTTGAATCAGAGACCAGGACACAATTACATTAAAGCACAAATTGGTTTATGGACAGGATCAGTATTGAAAACAGAATGGAGGAGCCTAAAGGGAGGTAGGATTACAAGCCCTGTTTTATAGACATGTATAAATTATCCTTTTATTTGATAGGTTACAATAACAATGACAATTGTCATTAGTCATGCAATAGGTCGTAGCAGGCAATGTGATTGATAAGGTTAACCTTACTGATTGGGTTAATTCGTCTGTGTATTGGAATACGTAAGAAGGAGAGAGGATGAAGTATTACATCCCCATAATAATGGATTCTTTGGATTGCACAAAAGGATCTAAGAATTGGTGTTTAAAGTTGTTATTTTAGCCTAGCTGCTCTCTAAAATTGTTGAGTTTCCAACGCTCATTGTTAATGCTTTGCAGCCAGGTCTGCATTCCTGCAGTTAACACTTTCACTTATCTTGTGAGCACCTTGTTACATTGGGTGTGCCTGAGAATTCCTATCACCTGTTTTTTAGCTGAGCTAGTGATACTGTTTCTGCAAAGAAAGTATGTGGGTTAGGATCCAGAGTTGGACTCCTCAGATATTCTCATACAATCCAGTAGGGAAACAGTATTTTCCAATATTGAATCAGTGAGTTTTCCACATCCCTGCAACCTGCCTTAGATTCACAGATCCCATATATTTCAGACAAGATTTCAAGCTAAGTCTTATCTAGAAGAAAATTTGACTGGCAGAAAAATTCCAGGGAGTATTTCTCAGGAATTTTTCCCAGCCCCCTGGGGCCATTTCCCACGTACATAAATTCCAGTACAAGCAAGAATATTATAATACCTCTGACTGAGCAGAAAGTAAGACTGCAGGAAAAACACAGGAGGGGTCTCTTTACATCTAGCTTTGGGGCAGGGGGAAGGAGTGTAAAGATGAACGGTAAGATGAATCTTATGTGTAAAAGATTCCAGGTTCAGTCTCTACTAGGTGATCCAGGAGAATTACTGTTAATATTAAGCTAAATAAATAAGCAACATGAATAAAAGGGGATTGGACAAATTCAGAGAGGACAGGTTTGACAAGGGTTGTTGGATTGGAAAACCTCTGGGCTAGGGGCAGCAGACCTCCTAAAACAAGTTTCAGAGGAACAATGGCAGGAGAGGGTACATCTCCATCTGTTGTTGGAGAGCACCTCTTGAGAAATATAATACAAGACTCAGATGTGCCCCAGCCTGATTCAGAAGGTCTGTTCTGTGTTCTTACTTTATGTAAATATCCCTGGTTTGCAGTAAAGGAGCTCCTGGTATTCTTATAGTCTTAGTCCTAAGAATTTGGAATATTATGCAGAACAATTTAAATTAACTCACCTCAATTAAAGAGGGAATATAACATTTCCCTGTGGATACTTATGAATTGTAGATCTGCAGCGGAACCATCTCAAGTGATTGCTTTGGATAGTACAAGTCCCCGGTGTGTCAGAAGCCTCATTAACATAGCAATAGATGCAACTATTTTGTATAAATCTGTCACTCTTTGGGTTGGCTTTTTAAAAATTAGCTCTTAGTAGGCTTTTCGTGCCAGTCTCTTCTTCATTAGCCAATAGGCACAGTAGCTCTGTTCTGTTTGTTCTACTTTGCACTAACATTTCACAGACAAGCTACTATGTTGTAAGTGGTGTTAAAAACAATACCGTTCAGTTGTCTTATATTGAATACATAAAATAGCCTCAGTCTATTGTCTCTGGCTGTGGCTGTCCAAAGTTTTGAGTCAAGGTAGTACAGGTAGTCCTCATTTAGCAATTGCCTCGTTTAGCGACTGTTCACAGTTACAATGTTGATGAAAAAGTAACTGCAGCAATCCTCGCATTTACAACCTTCGTAAGTCTGTAAAGCGAAGGAAAGCTGAAGAGATCATAAGCAGAGTTGCGATTTCACTTAGTGACCATTTTGCTTAATGACTGAGTTGCCAGTCCCAATTGTGGCCACTAAATGAGGACTACCTGTATTTCCAAGGATCTGTTATTCCTTTTGGGAATCAATTTTGGAACCATCTGAATACAAAGTAATGTTTTCTAGTACTGATCTTTGGATATTCACCTATAAAACAAGCCACCCAGAGTCACTGGGAGTCAGGCAGCATACAAGTTTTTTAAAATATTATTATTATTATTATTATTATTATTATTATTATTATCCTATTGAAATTAGTACAACCTGCTACATGAACGTTAGTGTTTGGTTTTTAAAAGTTCAAAAAGTTGGCTGTGGTTCTTATAACTTGGTATTTGTTCATTTTACTTTTAATAGGGCCCTTGTCCAGAAAAGGATAAAGAACTCCAAGGAAGTCCAGAATAACAATTCTCAGGCGCAGGCAACTCCAGAAAATTGATTCAGCAGCTTTGTCAAAATAAACAAGGAATCTTTGATCTTTGCAAGAAGAATAAATCTGAGGAGCCCCTTCTTGATGGACAAATACTTTGATTTTGTTTCTTTGATGTGTGTGGGTGGCCTTTTTCTATTGTAGCTTTAGCAGTAATAGCAAGGGTACCTCATCCCCCAGCCCCTGTTATGGGTGGGCTTGAATCAAACCATCCTCATTGGTGGCAGTGTGATGGTACAAGGGCCTTGTCTTCCTCCTCTGATGATAAATGACTCTTAGCTCATAGGAGAAGGGAGAACTTCTACTAAACTTTCTTGTCATTGACTATGGAAGATCAAATACTGAAATGTAGTAACAGGTTCTGTGGTGGGAATATGAGGATAAGACATAACTGTAGCGATCGTCTTGTTGGCCACAGGGTGACCAACTGATTGGGGCACGCTTTTACCCAGTGCAAGAGAGAGCTGAATTACACACAGAGTCGAGGGAAGGCTTTCACACTATTTCTGTACATAAGCAATGGGGCGCACTCAGGACCAAAATCCAAATCGAGCGCCCAAAGGTGTGTTGTCCAAAGGTTTTTATACATTTCACTAAGCAGGTAACATTCATCACAATTCTTATTGGCTAAAACAAATCCATGGGTGTATTACATTATGCACATGTGTACTACAACTATGTACCCCCATAATAAGCCATCGGGGGGCTCATTAGCATCACGTTTACTCCCAGGGGTGTGTTTTTTACTATTATAATGAGGCAAAGGATGCTATAGTTCAACTTTTAAACAGTCACGTATCAAATCAAACCAGAACAAGCCAGAGAGACACAGGAAATCCCTAATACACAAACAGCAACGCCCCTTAGGAGGCCCACAGTCTTTTGCACCGTTATTACATGAGGAGGAGTGGATTTAAAATTTATGGAAAGAAGGTGTCACCTAGGAAAAGAACTCTTCTGCAAGTTTGCAAAAATTAGGAGCCTGGTAGTGCCTCTTCAGACACACATTTTATTAAAAGGCAGCAGCTTTCATGCTTTAAAAAAAAATTAGTCTGAAAAGGTGCTATCAGACTCCTGATTTTTGAATACCATAGATAAACATAGCTATCCTCCTGTGGTTTGCGAAAAGATACAATTCTCTTACAACTGATCTTTGGGGTTATAAAACTTAAACTCTATTCCTCTCGATAAACTGGGTCCAAATGGTTGTGTTGTTAAAATATCGCTTTGCATTTTGGCGTGTGTGTATGCATGCAGTTTTGAGATCAAGCGTTGTAGAAGTCTGGCGTTTCAAATGTTGCTGTTGCCAATCGGTCCCTGTTGTCCTGACCTTCAGCTGGGATCGCCACGCCGCCTGGCCTAAGCACGAGATTTACCTTTCATGTCCCTGTCTTTGTTCGGACAATCTCCTGTGCTTTTAAAGCTCTGTGCTCAAGGAGGGAAACAGATGGGAGAACCTGCACCAAGACAGATGAATTTCAAAACTGGCGTGATCTGTCTGCGTGCATATTTTCCCGTTTAGATTGATTACAACGAACTTAAATCGCAGTCGGTTCCACTGTGTTATCTGAATATGTGACCAGTCTGAGTTCGCCTGACATGCTGGCTGGGGAATTCTGGGAGTTGAAGTCCACACGTCTCGCTAAGTTTGGAAAACACATGCCTGTTTCAGAGGCGCGCGTCATGCAAGCCCGGCGGACGGAGGCTGCACGACCTTTGTGGCGCTCGCTCCCTTCCTTCCTTGCAACCAGGGTGCCTTCCGGGGCAACTCTGGCTCCCATCATCCCCAGCCAGCACGGCCCCTGCGATTATAGGGTGGGCGGAGGGGGTCCGTCCGCCACAGCCCAAGGCTGCAAC